AAGTATCTCGGACAACATTAGTACGAAAGATGCTTGGAAAGAATTCAAGACCCGTTGGACATCCGACTGTTTTAAGCAAGTCTGAGGAGCTGTTGATTTCTGAAACTTTGACTGTTGTTGCGAATTGTGGGTTCCCCTTGACAAAGGGAAATGTGGTTCGAAATATGGTGAAAAAACACCTAGATAAACAAGTGAAACACTTGTAAGAAGAAATAAATACAGTTTTGTTAAAATTTATTTAATATTTTTTAACGTTTAATTCAATAAAAAATGTATCTTTTACATAAAAATACATTCCTTAATGCTTCAGTTACATTTTCAAGAAACTTGACCATCTGACATGCAAAGTAAGAGATTGTCCCTAAAACCAAGATTAGTGTCCAAGAAGCCCCAACAACGGGACTATTCGGACATCACTTTTTTATACATTTTTTGTTGTTTGTATATATATTTTCAACGTTCTATGATAGCTATATAGTCCTGAAGGTTAGGTTGGTATGATGAACAAGTGTCTGTTGTCCTAACTTTATTTCTTCACTTTTAATCTTGAAAAATGCGCAAAAAACGTGACCAAGTAACCCCACATTACGGTACCAGACCCTGTAATAGAGGTGACAGCACTCCCCCTTGGGGACATCCTCTTAGCGCCTTTATAGTCAGCTACTCGCTTCCCAGACTGGCTGTGATCTGCCGACTTTTCAACATAGCTATACACCATTTGATTGTCGACCGATGTATATCTTTTACGTTTAGAGCCTTCTCTATGGATTCATAGGAGGTGTTATAATATAATAATAATAATACTTTATTCCTCCCATTTTAACAAAAAAGCGTAGAGTACGTCAATTTAACAATAATTGCATTGTAATATAATACACATTGAATTCAAACATTAAATTGGAAAAACATGTCAATGGTATACATCGGATTTTCCGTGACAATAGCTCTCAGTCTACTCCGGAATCGTGGTGATTGAAGATCTTGATACACTGGTACAGAGCCGTCTTCTGAATCTTAGTAAGGTGCGTTTTTGGTGGCACCAGATAGCACTTCACCTACCCGCGCGTGTTTCGAGGATGAGATATTTCATATTTTTTGAAAAATTAAAAGTAATTCTTCCTAACCAATACAGCACATTCCAGAATATAAATTCCATACAAGGTAGGTATTTTATAGTCTTTAAAGTAACTTCTACAGCTATCAGTATTTTTTATCAAGAGCACCCTCTTTGTCTATGAAAGCACATAGGGCTATCTCTTTGGTTGCAATTGCCTCCTCTAAAGTGCTAGTCAAAGCATGTAATTGTTGATTTTGCTTTTTGGTAATGTTGGCTAGGGTGGGTGGAGTGGACAAGCAGTCCATTCATAAGTATTGATCGATTACCTTTTCCATCCCTTTGAGGAGAAATGAACTTAGGCTAATTGGTCTGTATGCCTTTGGGTCGGCCTTCGAACGCCTACTGCCTTTAGGTATGAAGACCATCTTTATTTTCCTCCATATATAGGGATGTTATTACTGGGATCAGGCCTTCTAAGCCTTTTTGTAGAAAAATAGGCGAAATTCCATCTCCTTACTCTGTTGGGTGTAAAAATGTTCCTGCAAACTGTAGTGGATGGTTGGTCGAGCGTATTAATGTCATTAATGTAAACTCTTAAACTTGGTTATAACTACTTTATTCACAGATACACACATCTAATCTTGTCCGGTCACGTTCGCATCGTACGTTCCTTACGTCACACACATGCGCGCGCCCTACATCTCCCTTTCTAAAATTATTAAATTATTATTTTTCTTCTCGGTATCTGGAAGGACGGCACGATACTCTTTCAGACCTGGTGATGGTTTCTTCGTCTTATCAACACTCTGTTGCACTTCCTCATTCAGAGCACTTTTAAAGTTTTCACATACTCTGCTTTCGCGGTTACAACGCACTTCACCTTCCCGGCTTTCACGCACTTCCTCGTTGTTTAGGACGACGACATCTCTCCTGTTCCTTCGGATGTCCTGTCCATCGGTGTTGATCTAGTATGACCTTGGAGTGTCTGCTTTCAATTGTTCCGTACTGTTTAGTATCTAAGATGTACACTCTCTGATTTGGTTGGACTTCTTCCATTTCCCTAGCTCTATGTCTTCGGTCGTAATTCTTCTTCTGTTCTTCTCTCTCTCTTTCGAATTTTTGATACACTAAATCATGATCAGGTATATTTGGTATCAATGATTTTTCATTTCGGGGCAACGTATCACGCAAATTACGAGCAAAAAACAATTGGGCTGGCGATACACCGCATTTTAATGGCGTATTTTTGAATGCCAACAAACCCAAATAGATGTCTTCATTTTTCTTTGATATGTTCTTTACCGTTTGTACTGCCCTTTCGGCGAGTCCGTTACTTTTTGGGTATTTCGGGCTACTGGTAATATGTTTAAACCCATATGTTTTCGCGAAGTTTACAAAATGGTGGTTCTTATATTGTGGTCCGTTGTCAGATTTCACTACCTTTGGTATACCAAATCTTGCAAAGATCTTTTTCATTTCTTCTATTACGTCCTCAGTTTTGGTTTTATTCATTTCTATTACTTCTATAAATTTACTGTAATAATCTTCCACAATCAAATATATTTTCCCTTTATATTCACACAAATCTGTTGCAATTTCCTGCCACGGTAATCTTGGTAGTGGATTAATTATCATCGGTTCTATTCCTGTAGACCTGTTCTGAGCACAAATATCACAGCTATTTATTAAATCTTCAATCTGTTTTGAAATGTGCGCCACCAGACTGTTGCTTTCGCTCTGCTTATCCCTCTTCTTATTCCAAAATGACCTTCGTGGATCTTTTCCAAGACGCTTCTTCTTAAGTTATTCGGTATTAATAATCTATCTTTGTAATAAATTTTACCTTGATATACTGCCAATTCTTTTCTATATTTGAAATATGGTGCGATTTCAAAATCCTTTATATTTTCTGGCTATCCGTTTTCTATAAATTGTTTTATTTTTAGACATATATAATTGTTTTGTTCTTTCGCAATCTCTTCTATGTTTCTATCCAAATCCATGTACATTTCCTCATTAATGTTTTCAATATACTTTGTACTTTCCATCTCTCTTATATATTCTATTTCGCATTCATTGTGTTTAATTGGTGCTCGCGATAATGTATCAGGCGTATAAAAATCTTTACCTGGCACATGTTCAATCTTATAATTAAATCTCGTCAATCTTAATCTAAATCTCTGCAGTCTTGTTGTCAAATCATTAATTGGTTTTGTTTTCAATACCTTTAACAATGGTTGATGATCGGTCTGAATCGTAAATTCTTTTCCTATTAAAAATTGTTCGAATTTTTCGCATGCTGTCAAAATTGCTAATACTTCCTTCTCGATTTGCGCATAAAGTCTCTGTGTCTCATTCATTGCTTTCGACATATACATTACAGGGTTCCATTTCCCATTATGCTTCTGTTCCAATACTCCTCCAATTCCGTATGAGCTAGCGTCTGCCAAAACTCTTGTCTCTGCGTTTACATTGTATGGTTTTAATATCGAACATTTTCTTTAATTGATCAAAACAATTTTTCTGTTGGTCTTTCCATATAAACAATATTATTACTCTTCAATAATTCTCTTAAAGGTTTATTTATTTCAGCCATGTTTGCCAAAAATTTTGTCAAATGATTCACCATTCCTAAGAATCTTCTAAGTTCCGTTATATTCTTCGGTTCTGGAAATGATGTTATTGCCTTCAAATTTTCCTTATCTATTTTTATTCCTTTCTGTCCTATAATATAATCCAAAAACTTGATCTCGTCGGTATAGAATTCACATTTTTGCTTGTTAAGTTTCTTTTTTATACCCGAAACCTGACACCATGTAGTGGATGGTTGGTCGAGCGCATTAATGTCATTAATGTAAACTCTTAAACTTGGTTATAACTACTTTATTCACAGATATACACATCTAATATGACCTTACAGCTATCGTGCTCGGACTCGACTCAGCCACGCTGTCCGGTCACGTTCGCATCGTACGTTCCTTACGTCACACACATGCGCGCGCCCTACACAAACCCAACCTGATGGACCGGTTAAATCCATTACTTTTGAGGAAGGGAAGTGTGTACTCAGTAAGAGCTCCAACGATTCCTAGATCAGTATTGTGATCTTTTGCCAAAATTTTATGCAGACGAGCAACTGTAGGCGTATTGTCTATGCCTTCACAGAAGAGTATTCACCTAACCATTCTACACTGTTGGACATAATTCACGAGCACACCCTATATAATCTGAACGCGTGAAGATAAATCCATGATATTTGCGGAGCACAAAGGTTTACTGTAGACGAGTTTATTCATCGAGTTTC